ACTTTCTGCTACCTTTTTGTCGGCTCTCTCTGCTTCGGCAGCATGCTGCTTGAAAATCATACCTTTCTGCTACCTTTTTGCGGGCAGCTGACATTTATTGGGTTTGTTTTGAAAGCGTTTAATGGCTGCATGCGTGTGTGTGTGAGCGTGTGTGAGTGTTTGCGTTAAGTAGATTTTTCAGCACATTTGTCTTAATTGTTGTGATTTGTGGTTGATTTTTGAATGATTTACGGCGTGTGCAGCGCCATCGGGATTAATTGTTTTTTAAATGTCAGCAGGGCAAGAGACATTTTTTATTTTTAGGTGGGCGAAGCATGAAATAAATAAATACTTATTTATGTATTAATATTTGCTATTGTATTTTGTGCCATCAGAAGATGGTTTTAGTTCAAGTCCCATTGATTGGTAAAATAATTAAATCCCCGTCTGATAAATTGGCAACCCTTTTACCGAGCAGACCGCAAAATTGAAATACTTTAATTACCCGAATAAAAAACATTTAACAATTTAATCTGAGCATATCAATTGCCCACACACGCGAACACACACTCACACACATACGCTCCTCTCTCACGCTCTCTCTCTTTCTCTCTCTCTCTGGGCCAAAATCCACTCCCAATTTATCACTCAATTAGCACAGAAAAATGTAGTAGTGTATTTACTACGCTTCTGGGCTCGGGCCCTCGTGCCGTCTCTTTCGCCTCGCATATACCCATCTCTTTCGCCGTCGACGTCGCTGCTTGGCACAGCGTGAGAAACTCTCGTCGGCTTTCTGGTATCGGGTGTTCATCTCAATGAAATTGTAGCATATTTGTTGCCATATCGAGATTAAATTTTCAAAACACAAACGAGCACAGCACGAGAGAGCCAGAAAGAGAGAGCGCTATGCGGCGCGAAAGAGACAGCATCAGCCGAAGTGAAAGAGAGGAGAGAGTGTGTGTGAGAGAGAGAGAGAGCGAACACAGTTCGTTTGTATGCGTGGCTTGTAAGCTTTTGTATAATGTTTGAGGTGGGCACACAATTTTCGGGTGGGGAGTACTAAGGTGGTTCCAGTGGGTGGTTGGGTGGTTGGGTGTTTTGTGGGTGGTTCGTTGGGGTCGCGATTTATTGATGACGTCGACGCCGACGCCGACGGCGACGGCGACGACCACGACGACTGCGCTGCGGCGACCGTGTTAATGTGTTTGTTGCTCTCTGGCATAAAATTATGTTTTATTTTATTTAACATGTTCTGCCTCGATTTTTGGCAGTCCTTGTCATAATTCCCATGAAACGGCCGTGGATTGAGCGAGAGGGCTAGCGAGGTCCTGTGCGAAAGGAAGTCCTTTTTTCTGGCTCGAGTACCAGGCAACAACAATCGCCGACAGTTGTGCGCTGCCGACGATGATGATGGAAGTAATGATGATGTTGGTCTGTTGGCAGAGGCTGCTTCATTGGGTTATGCTTATGGGTTTGTGTTTGGGTTCGGGTTTGGGTTTGAGTTTGGGTTTGAGTTTGAGTTTGAGTTCAGGCCTCACATTCACACACGAGTGGCTAAAATCCCTGTGTGATTGTACAGTGGTCACTCGTCATTGGACAATATATCAGTTCATATATTTAGTAGAGAATAATTCCTATATATTTGTTGAGCGGTTTAATATATTATTATATTATTTCTAATATATTATATTTTTTGAATATATTTTTCTACATTATTATAAACACTTTTTCCCCTTCGACTTAATTGGTATTTACTTTAAAACTCTGTGAATTGTTTTAATAATAATAATATGTTCTAGAATAAAATGTTCTAGATCTTCGAAAATATATAATGTTTCTAAAGCGCTTTGGTACAGAAATCTGATGGTTAAAGGTCAATTACTCGAGGGAGTACTGTGCCCATGAGTGTGCGTTTGCACGGTGTGTAAAAGGAAGTGTACAGCGTTGTAGGCCGTCGTCATCGTCATCGCTTGCTGCTGCTGCTGATGCTGCTGCTGCTGTGATGCTGCTGTTGCTGATGTGGCGATGTTGCTGCCGCTGCTGCTGACGCCGAGGGTGAGGTTGGGGGTGGGGGAGGGACAATGGGTCTGTTTGTTGCTCGGTACCCGGTACCCAGTACCCGGTTGCCGGTCCTCTGCCTTTTCCTCCGACCCCGTTTTTCTCCACCCCGTCCTGCTTGCCCTGCATTTCCCTCATCCTGCCAGTATCTGTATCTGTATCCGCATCTGTATCTGTGTAAATGCGTTGGTTGTCGGCTTGTTCCGTCGTTCCTCCCCCTCACAAAGGCACACCTCCCCCGCCCCACCCCACACACTGTGTGTGTGTGCGTGTGTTGTGTGTTGTGTGTTGGTTCCTGTGCCTGTTCCTATTCCTGTTACTTTTGCTGTGACGGCGACGGAGACCAGAGCACTGTGCACTCCATACAGGGTGTCACAGGATTTGTGGGGGTGGGCAGGACTATTAGCTAATGGTGAGGCCAAAGGTTCACCACAAGGTTTGTGCATTTGGACTTATTCCGGAATGTTCCAGAGGTTGAAAAACGGAATAAAAGCATTCTTACTAAATTGTTTTTACATATGCAAGTCCTTGCTTAAATATTTATCTTCGTATTTAACACATTTCGGAAAGATATTGTACCTAAAACTGATTTCAATTTTATTTTGGCTCTATTTGTCGGTCCAATCAGTGTTCGCATAAAATATGTGAAATATGGTCGAATAATTTTAAATAAACATGTTGATAATTAATGACTCCGGGTGGTTGCTTAAGTGCATTAAAGCCGCATAAATCTAAATTGTCATCCAAGTTGTCAGTATAACTGGCTTGCGAATCACCCTGTTCTGGCTGCCAAAAGCGGCTGTAAAAACAATTTAATGCATAAAACGACAAAAATCTGGTTTTCACAAAAACCGAAAACCCAAACCAGCAGCAACACCAACAAGAGCAACAGCAACAGCAACAGCAACAAAAGCAAAAGCAAGCGACGAAAGCGCTGCCACCAGTTGTTGGTTTTGAGGGGTGGCTGCGGGGGGTGGAGCTTGCCCCCAGGGGGAGTTAGGAAGCTGATGTTGCTGCTGAAGGAAGAACTCGCAGCAGCAACGGCAGCAGCAGCAGCAACAGCAGCAACACTCAAAGCAGCAACAACATTAGCAACAGCAACACCAAAGCCAGCAGCAGCAACAACACTTGCAGCAACAGCAGCAACATCAACAACAAATGTTGAGATTACGTTGAAAGTAACTGCCAACGGGGGCAGCGACGCCGGCAGAAGCAGCGGCAACAGCAGCAGCAGCAGAATGCAACGCATTTGGACGAGTGCAGCACTAAAATCAATTATGTAGCCAGCGCAGCAGCAACATCGCAGCAGCGGCAGCAGCAGCAGCAGCAGCAGCGTGAAAATAGTAGTGAAAAAAAGAGAAATAGCAAAGCAGCAGACGATAGCAAAAAACGTAGGGGGTGGGGGCAGGTGGAAAGTAGGGAAATGTTCGCGTAGAAGGGGGAGGAGGGCGGGCTGGAAAGTGGGCGGCCAGGGGGCGGCACAAGTGTCTGTTTGTCGCTGCGTCGGTCAGTCGGCAAATATGTTGCGCATTTGTGAGCGAGTGAAAGAGAGCGCCATATGCGGTGCGACAGAGATAGCGCAGCATCGTCAACTGCTGTTGTAACTGTTGTTTTGCAGCTACAACTGCTGCTGCTGTTGCTGCTGTTGTTGTTGTTGTTGGCGGGGGGTGGCTGGGCGGAAAAGCGAATGCCAGTAAAATGCGTGCGAAGGCAAAGCCAGTGAAAGAAAATAAAAACCGAAATGAAAAGCTGAAGGGCGAAACTCGAAATACACTTATAAAGCGATTATACTCGAACTCTTTGAAGGGGCGAAAAAAGCGTTCTGCGTAAAAGGGAAGCTGTGCGCCCAATTTTGAATCGAAATTGAATAAAGCAACTGCATTATCAGTTGAAACATGTTTATTATAAACACTTAACAACCCTTAAAATCTTGAAAAATAGTGGGACAACGTTGCTCAAGGATAAGAGTTAAAATAATAATATTTAAGATGGAAAATGTAAACAAGATACAAAATGTAAGCAAGATATAAAATGTAAGCAAGATATAAGATGTAAACAAAAAATTAAGGATCACAACAAACCTATGGTATTTCATAAAGAAATACGGGCAAGTGGTATGTTATTATTGGACATATTCTAAACAATGGCCAATTTAAATATTTATAATTAAGCTTAAGAGCTAACTAATTGTAGGGTAGTAAGAAAGCACCCACAAAACCGAAAAAAAAACATAAAGCTAAAAGCAGCAGCAGTAAACGATGAACTTTGCTGGCTGCTTTTGTTGCTTTTTGTTATGGATGGTTTGGGTCTAAAGCAGACACCTTTCCACGTGCAGGTCGGTACTCCTCGCCCTCGCCCCCCCCACTCCCCCCTTTGGGGTCTGCAGAAAATAATCAGCGAAAAACGTAGGAGAAAAAGAGCGTGCAAAATTATGCTGAGTGCTTGGCTGGCTGCCACACAAAAGTGAAAGAAAGGCAACGACAACGACGACGTCTTCACCGTCCCCCCCGTACCCGGCCACCCCCCACCCCCTTGGGCCACTCTAGCCCCTGCTGCCCCCGTTTGGGGCGCCCCTGGACAGCCCTCCAACCGCTGGGCTCTCCTTTTTTCACGAGAGCAGCATAAATGCGAGGAAAAAGGCAGAGAAAGAGGAAAAATCAAGGAGGAACTTGGTTGCCTGCAGGGGCGTCGGCGAAGGGGGGTTTTTGGGTGGCTCTTTGCCGGCAGATACTTCGAGATTTAGCCAAACCCCCACCCCCCCTCACGCCTCCTCCCACTGGTTTTCATGCATTTTATCAGTCGACGCTGACGATTTTCTTGGCGTTTTTATTTTTATTATTTCGTTTTTTTTCCTCTCGCTCTTTGCTCGGTTTCGTTTATGATTTTTTTCCTCCGCTCTGCTCGGGGTTTTTGTTTTTATTTGGGTTTCGTTTTGGGATCGGGCAAATGTATCTGTATCTGTATCTGTATTTGTATCTTTATGTGGCGCTGTGGCCGCTGCTGCTGTTGTTGTTGTTGCTGCTGCTGCTATTGTATCGCTTTTGTATCTTTTAGCGCTGTTTTGAGTTAAGCAATTGATGGATATGGTTTATTTATAACGCTTGGCGACCGAAACCGAACCGAACTGAACTGAACTGAGCCGAACCTCATCATCCTCTCCATCGCATCGGCGGCAACCTCATCATCGCCATCGGAATTCCGACGACGCCGAGCAGCTCGCACAATGAGTGCGGACGTGTATCTGAGTATCTGCAAGATACTCGTACTCATACCCGTACTCACTCGCTCGCTGCCTGCGTTCGATAAACGTAAGCGTAATAATATTTTATTGAAATTTGTTTTCTTGCCTGTACTTGCCTCGCTCCCTCCTGCCCTCCCCTCTCCTCCGCTCTTTCCCACTGTCTTTCTGGGTATTTTCTTTTCCTTTCGGGTGCACCGTAAATTATTTAAATTCATCTGTGTTTTTATATATATTTTATATTTATTGAGGTCAGAAATGAAAAAGAGATACTTTTTTAATCCCATCACTTTGAAATTCAAATTAAGAACGGAATGAAGCTTAGTTTAATTTTAAATTCAGATAAAAAATGTTGTTTGTTTATTTATCTTTATTTTTTTATTTTATTTATTTTACTTGCCCAACCAACATTGAACTCAAGACGACTGTTGATATATACCACCATATTTTTGAAAATCAAATACCTAAATATTACCATTTAAAAATTAAGTCAATCAAGCGTTCATTTTATTCTTATTATATTATTTTTTTTTTTTGATTTGAAGGTATGAATTATTCATTTAAAAACTAAAATCTAAATACGTTTCTAACGGTTATCAAATATAACAATAATCAATTGTTGCAAAGTTACTTTGCATTGTGTTCAGTGTTGTGGGGACTTTGGTGGGGAATGAGGGGCCTTCATTTCTTTTGTCGCTGCTTGCTTTTTTGCGCTCCGCTATAAGTATCTGTTGGATAAATATGAGGTTAAAGCGCTGCCTGCTGCCGTCTGTCTGCCTGTAGTTTCTTCACTTCACCTTAACTCAGTTCACTTGCAGCTGTATCTGTATCTGCAGCAGAAGTATCTGCATCTGTATCTGTATCTGTACCTGCAGCTGTAGTAATACCCAACTCGAACTCGAACCCAAACCCGCACCCCGTATCCGTATCTGTATCTGTAAATGTATCTGCATCTGCATCGGTGTGTTTTTCATTGGGTCCCTGCTCTGGAGTCGAGTGCAGCGCATTTTGATTGTTCGCCTGCTCTTTTGATGAAAACATAAATATCACAACGCCGCCGAGCGAAAAGAGCCCGAAAAAGAAGCCTCAAGACATCCAGAAAGTGGATGAGGATGAGCCACAAGGCGATGGCGATGGCGATGGTGATGGTGATGATGATGATGGCTTCCAACATCGGAATTTCTATTTAGCTCTCTCGATTCCTGTTCTCGCATTTGGAATGAATGAAAATGTTTTCCCTCTTTCCCGCTCTCTTTTCATTTTTGTGAGCGTTACAACTTCTGGAGTTTTCTGGGTGCTTTTTTTTTTGTGTTGTGTGTTTTGCCTTTTCCGTGTGTGGTAAATTGATACCGGCAATGGTGGCTTAACACCGGGCGTATAACTTCTCTATTAATAAGCCTAATTAAAGCCACTGAAAACAGCATTTGGCTTGGGTTTTTCCTGCAGGCTGGCTTAATAGTGTTCAATTAGGTTTTATTAGAGTTTAAAATTGATTTTGTAGTTTGGGCAGCGAGATGAAATTTCAGGAGATCGGAAATTGGATTACTTTGAGAACTTAATTTTTAAGTTTGCGCTACAAGATCGAATTTCAGGAAATGGTGGTTGAAAATAATTGAATTTAAATGTTATTGTGTACAACTGCTGAATACAAATTTAGAAAGGGAATTATGGAAATGAGAATAATTTGAAATGCTTAGTAAAAAAAAAGATGAACAATACTTATAAACTTAAATTTAAGAAAATTTCAGAATTAGGAAATAGTTTCACATTTGGAATGCATTTTGTATTTGCTGTATGTTGCATTAAGATTTTAGAATCCATTATTTCAGAAGACCCTATTTTGTTTGTCGATTAATTATGCTGCCCCCCAAGAAATGATTGAGCACGTCTAAAAATAAGTCGGATATCAGGGAGAAATCCCATAAATTTTGGGGTGAGTGCAGCACTTCTGCATACCCCTCGTTTTATGACCCTCCTCGAATAACTTAATAATTATTCATGCAGTTACCCGACGCAATTACAACAAAAGTGGATGCCACATGCCCACGCTTCAAAAGCGCAACAACAAGAGCGATAAATAAAAACAACGATCGACAACAAACAAACAACGAACAACAGCAACAACAAAAGCAACGACAACAACGTGAAAAGTGCGTTGTACATAAACGAAATCGAAACGAAACGAATAATAAATGAGAGGAAGAAGGAACGACAATACTTTATATAGTTGAATGACTGAACCAACCCGTCAACCACACCAACGACGAACAAATTAACACACAAAATACTTATGCGCAATAACAACAACAACAACACCAACACTAACAACAACTGGCCCTCTTCGCCAACAAAATTACCTTAAAAACACCAAACAAGCTGAAAAAAAAAAACAAAAAATATGGAAAACACAAGCCAACAAAAAATCTGAAAATAAAAATACATTAAACGAAATAAGATGAATACCAAACAAATAAAAAATTTATGCGTTGCACTTGGTTGTGAAGAGTGCGAGGGGCATGGGGCGAGGGGCGCGATAGAGACGGACAGTGAGGGATTGTATAAATGGAGGCGAGCGAGAAATTATGCCACAATCAAGTACAACACAGCGGCAGCAACAACAAACAGAGAGGAAAATTCCTTCGGAAAAATGCGTGGTGATGGGAAAACCGAAGTTAGAGATGGTCAAAATTATCGGGGATCAAAAGAAATTTCCAAAGAAAGCTATGCCAGATCATTAGAACCATTTAACTCATAAATTGTATTAATTCAATCTTTAAACATATCCCTGACTCACTGATCATTTTGAATTAGATATTCCAAACTGATAGTATACATTAGTATGCATTTATTTAAATATTTATTATTAATAAACTAATGCAAAAACTACAAAAATTTAATCACATTATTTATTTGAATAAAATTGATAAAACAGTTTAACACCGCCGTTAATTTTAAGTGAACAACTTACCCCAAATTATACAGAATACGCACTTATCCGCCTTTTTTCCAAATTACATGGTGAGTGATTTTTCTTTGTCATCTAATGAAGGTAATCCAAACAAACCCTAAGTTCCCACCTTCAAAAATAACCGTCGTCACAGAATAATCCACTCACGCAGTCATCGCCCAAATAGATCAGTCAGTTGGCGATCATATCAGGGCAGAGAGATATAGTAGAGCAGATCACCTCCAAAGCGCACACAGATACAGATACAGATACAGATACAGATACAAGCAGATGACGATGGTGTTCGTATTCCATCGCGATGATGATCATGATCGGCGGTCAATGATAATTCCATTTTGTTTTGTTTTTGCGTTTGCATGCGACGCTGAATCGCTTTCGGATTCAGATTCGGAATCTGAATCTGAATCTGAGTGACTACCCAACTGCTTGCCTACGAGCTAATGTATCTGTATCTGGGCATTTTTCTGGGTATCCGTGTATCTTTGTATCTCTGTGTCGGCTGGCTCGCTGGCAAGCTGCCGCTGCTGTTGCAGTGGAAGATGCTCGAATGCAATCGGCTGTCTGCTTACATTCCATAGATACACAAAAATAAAATGCGGCTGCAATAAATAATATTTAAGGAGAGGGAAGGTGAGTGAGTGTGCGATGGAAAACGCTACCCATGCGGCTGGCTGGCTGAGTTAGGTAAAAATCAGTTCACCCCTATCCCAATTTTCCACTTCGCTTCGCGAAGTTCTCCCCCTGCACCGATAAAACGTTATCTTTCATCATTATAAGCGGAGATAGCACTTAGGTTGGGCAATTACCAATAGGCGGCAACACCTCGACGCGACTTCACTTTGCCGTCTAATTGCTTAACAAAAGCTTCAATTAAACACTTCAAAGAGCTTATTACAAACCAATAAACCGCACCACTTACCAAAGAGATGCCCTCGGCGCAAAGAATTCGCAGTTCTTCAGGCGGAACGACGGCGAATGTCAAGGATACGCCGCAAACACAGATGGAGATACAAACACAGTTGGAGGCACAGATACAAATACAGATACAGATACCGATACGGATATAGACACGAATTAAGAGCCAGTTTCACAGATACACTCGCGGAACAAAGAGAGCACGCTCCACTCCATTCAAGTCCACTCCATCGATGTTCTGGATGGCCTGGAATATCGCTTTACACACATGATATAAGTGTCATGACTGCGTGGCCCGATAATTGTCTGTTTTGTCTGCCGTTTGTTGACTGCCTTTCAGTGTCCTTAGTCCTCTGTCCTCCGTCCACGGTCCTCTGCTCCTGCAGCTCCTGCTTATCCTGTCTAGCCAACTCTTGACGGTGACGCAGTTGTGCCTACTCGAGGCTTCTGTTGTTCCCCGGTTGACAAAAGGCCTTCGAGCCTCTTCACATGCCTACGAACAACCGATGCCCCTGTGCGGTTCGGTTTTAGTGGGGACTGATCCTATTTACACCGGCAAAAATGGGCACTCATTTCGAGATTAGTGAAACATACGTAAATTACCAATTTGTATAATTCATTAAATTATTTGATCGTGCGATTTCCATAACTTAATTATATTAGGTGCCCATTTATAGGCTCAAATGATTTATAGTTGATATTTTGTATGTTATATTGGAATTTATACTGCTAGTGTTGATACTTTGAATGAAATGGTTCTTAAGGAAATGTTAAGCCTTTTGCAATTTTCGAAACTCTGCAAATTTCCTTCCAATTTCGTTCCCAGTGATAGACTTAGATTTCTGCAGGCAAAACCTTTTTGCGATATGATTGTTCACGTTTAGGTATGTTCATTCGGTTTCCTCTTAGTGCACCTATATTTTTATCTTTGGTGGTGGCTTTACTACTTTCCCTCACTTCTTTCTTCCCTTGGCCTTTCTTCTTTCTATTTTCGATCTGCCCCTGGGTAGCGTTTTATTGGACTCTTAGCGGTTCCTAATGTACATCCTGTTGCGCTCTCGCCGGCGATCAAAACAGGGTGTCTTATCGGAGGAACATCCTTGTTTGACTACCTGAACAACTTCCGGCTCAGAGGTCGTTCTTATACTTCCCATTCATTGACTCATTTGCATGATGATGGGAAGTCGAGGGGTAGATCATGGCAGCCAAACGGAATCTCTTTCAAGTCAAAGCTCAAACTCGAAATTATTTGAACGGCAATCATCATAATCACAATAATAACTTCCCTGCGACGCACATGTTTGCCCGAGTGTGTAAGGGTTAAATGTCCTCGGTGAGGTGTGGGTTGTGCACACCCCTTTGAGACCTCCTTCCACCCCTTTCCAGCATCTTTTGGCCAGCAGCCCCTTGTCTGGTTACGGTTTTGGTGTTGGGGTTACTTCGGGGTTCATAATGCCTGCCTTCTTTGAACTCTTTTTGCGTCATCGTTTGCGATTAAATATACCAAAAAAATGAACGAGGATATATGTGTGCAAACCTATATAAACGCATGGCCATTTACTTATGTGTGTATAGTATATACCTAGAAATTCATGTATTTTTATTTGGGCTTTTACTTTTCATCGGTTTCGCTTGTTTTGTTGTCGAAGAAATCCTTTTCTGCTTTTTTCGCTTACTTTTTATGGTGCGTATACCAAATACGAACCTTTTTTGCCAGAGGTCGGGTGTGGGGTGTCCCCGAACACACGCCAAATGTAACCTCAAAGGGTTAAACACGCAAAACGCAAAAGCTAAAAAATGGACAAAAATAAATACAAAAACGAAGGGCCAACAAAAAATATGAAAAGCAATAAGCAAACTCGTTGGACGTGAAGGGGAATTAGTATTCAAGAGACGACGAGATACCCACTTTCAGCATAGAACATATGCAGGAAGAAAATACCCTGTAAAAAGAAGGAAACGCACTTCAAACAATAAAAGAGAGAATAATCCAAGAATGGAATACTTCGTTTCTGATTTAAACTAACAGCTGTGCGCACATTTTTGCAGTACAAATTATATTGATACTACAAATTAGGTAAATAAATAGATATCACAAATTTTATTACTTCAGCACTTTACTATAACTTTAATTTAATGGAATGAATTAAATGAAAATTAAAAACAAATTGGTTGGAAGAATTGCTCAAAAATGTAAAACACGTACAAGTATCATTTTGTATAACAAGTATCAAGTGATTAAACACTTAGCTATTTCTCCGAGTAATAAATAATTATTATCTATCAACCAATTTGTATAGCTAGTGATCCTGGATCCATCTCACTTAAGCCAATTCATCGCAACTTCATGCCTGGCTCAAAGCTCTATTCAAGACCAATTCTGTCTAAACAAACATTTCGATTGGAATCTTTCGAGGAATTCCCGAACCCAAACCAAAAGGGGTGTTTGTCTTTCCCATTGTTCGGCTTCTCTCGACATTGCTGCGCGGTGAGATCGCTTCATTATCATTGAAATCGCTGGCATTATCAGATAATTAGATGGAACAATTGTCTCATTTATCTACACCAAATAACGTGTTGTATGTCATGGTCTTACCTAACCGAGAGACCCGAGGAAACCTTCCTTCCTCCCAACAACCCTCTTTCTGGGTTCTTGTGTTTGGTTTTCAGTAAATTTGTTTGCTAATAGAATTTGAAAAGAACATTTGCCACGGAGGATAGGTCGCCGGGCGGAGAAGTTGCCCGGGTATTACGCAATACCTTTTGTCAGGGTCTCGTTTTCGGTAGCCTTCTTCCCCACGGTCCCAGTCTCATGTAGATTTCTGTGTATTGACTTGAGATTATCGCACGCCGGGGTTAAAAACGTCCAATTTAAATTCAATTTCCGTGCAAAATGGTCAAAAGTCTGTGAAGCAAGAGGTAGAGAGGCAAGTAAATACCGTGCACGTAAAAAAACCCACCACTTAAGGGTTTGCCAACTGAATCCGGAATGCTGAGTCCTGAGTCCTGGAAGCTGAATGCCAGCCGGATATCAAAGCGCAGACGGAGAGAGATAAACAAGGAAGCCAAACAGGATGCATGACCATGCAGGCGAAGTCACTTCATTATCGAGATTATCGGCGCAACTTCCAACCCTGCCGAGGCATCAATCCCTCAGACTTAACATCTACATCTTGGCACAGCAAGAAAAGTTGTCCTCGTAAAAATGCCCCCTTTTTGGATTCGGTTGAGATTAAGCAAGCACTTGGGAGTAGCTTAAAGACACGATGTATTCGTACAATTGTTGTATACCGAGACTTGAGAAAATATTTCATTACACAAG